TCCCAGAGAGGCTTTGACATATCTTGAAATCCCACTTAACTTGGCTACGTATGTCATACCTTGTTAACTTAGTATGATCTCCTTATTCAATTTTTCCCAGGAATTCGCTGGGTTCAACACTCAAATTCACACTTGGTAGGAACCCACTATGGGTTATAGTTAGTAGCCAGAGCTGTGATGTTCAGGACATTATTTTATGGCCTAAGGTTGCCATCTTGGTTTAGAGACTTCTATGAATAAATAGGAGGCAATCCCATGAATGGTTAGGCACAGATAAAGCTTAAGTTGCTTCAGATTCCTGGCCAAGAGAACATGAGATATAGTTTCTGCCAGATTTTCAGTGGTATGACCACAGGTAAATTCTTTTTTTCTCATTCTCATCCTCTGTAGTCACTCTGCATTTGATATAATGTTGAACTCAAAGCCTTGTGCTGGGATATCTTTTCTTTTCTTTTTCTTCTTTCCTTCCTTCCTTCCTTCCTTCTTTCCTTCCTTCCTTCCTTCCTTCCTTCCTTCCTTCCTTCCTTCCTTCTTCCTTCTTTCCTTCCTTCTTTCCCTCTTTTTTCTTTTGTGCTGGTCCTGGGTCTTGAATTCAGGGCCTAGGCACTGTCCCTGAGCCTCTTTGTGCTCAAAGCTAGTTGAGCTACCACTTGAGCCACAGCACCACCTCTGGCTTTTTCTGAGTAATTTATTGGAGATAAGAGTCTAATGGACTTTTCTGTCCAGGCTGGCTTTGAACCAAGATCCTCAGATCTCAGACTCCTGAGTAGCGAAGATTACAGGCTTGAGCCACTGGCACCAGGCTTGCTGGGATTTCTTTTGCTCATGGCCTGTGTTCTACCAATAGAGCCACACCTCCAGTCCTATGAGATTATATTTTGATGTTACTTGCACTCAGCTTTCTCTTTTCCTTGCTTTCCTCCCTTCAAATACATATAATAAATTATGTAAAGGCAGGTTGATAATGGAATTGCTGATGGACCAGGTTTATGCCAAGTGCTTCTGCTAGCGCAATAGAGCTTGGACCTTCAACCAAGCAGCAGTGGCTGAGAGCTGGAAAATTGCGTCTCTATCTTAGTTAAGTATCTGTAAATTACCTAATTTGTTCTTTGTGCATGGCTGGGAGAAAGGATGGTTAGCAGAGGGGACCTACTGTTCAGGAATTTTCCTGTCTAGATGAGGAGTGTTTGAGAAATTGGATTTCATAAGCTATTTGTCTTATAAAAGACAGATTTTTTTTTTCCTGCTGGGCTAATGCCTAGCAAACAGTATCTGAGGGTCTTATTCAGTATCCTAATACGGAAGGATTAAAATTAGAAACCTCAGACTTGGGCTACAATCTATGGCAAACTTAGGGTCGGGAAGCTGTATTCTGTTCCTAGTTCTGACATATGCTAGCTGTGGAAATAAGGGCATGTAACAACTGTAACAACTGAACCAGGTGTTTGCCTCTAATTTTCCCTTTGGATGGAGTATGTGCATTGCCTGCTCACAGGGAGGGGCTGCTCATTGAGACAGTACAAGGAGAAGCTCAAAGAAACTGGGACATCCATACAAATGGGAGGCATTATCACCACCAAGTCTAGTCTTTGGGTCTTTGTGATGAGCACTGATTGACGGGGGAAGAGCAGGGGACAGGATTTGGAAATTTTGCTTCGCTCTCCAAGTAATCTCATTATCCTCAGACTCCCAGTAAACTAGGAAAGGTAGGTTTAAGGGAGGTGCTGTCTCTTTCCTAGGAAGACACCTTAGACTGCCTTCCTCCTTGGCAGAATTCCTGACCTTAGAAAAACCTTCCTTGATGATAAATTCTATTCCTCCTGCTCTCATTTCCCAATTTTTTTGGAACAGTTAAAGTCACCCACATACCCTGACTTACCCAAAGGCAGACTGAGCATCTCAGATGTGTGAAGGGTTAAGTGAGCCACACCCTCAGCAGGAACAGCCCCGGACTTTGTGCTGAGCAGCCATCTCTGGTCTCCTGGCCTGACTTGGCACAGGCAGTCTGGGCTGGAGAAGGCAGCACAGAGGAAGGTCAGAGGAGTGGACACTGGCAAGAGGAGGGCAGCCTGGATTCCCCAAACACCATGGACAGCTCCCATTAACTAAGACCCTTCACCTTGGCCTTGGGGATTTCTATGTCTCCTTCCTGTCAAATTGGGATTTCATCTCCCATTCTCCAAGGGACGCTGAAGTTACATCCTTGTTCCAGTGTTTGGTAAGTCCTGTCTTGATCTGTCATTACTCTTTCATACTTCAAGGTGTCCCGTTTGGAAGTCTGTTTCTATTTCCCCTTCCCCTTTCCCAATTAATCCCATTCCCATTCTTCTCAAATCCAAATCCAAAGATGTCTTTCCCAGCCAACTCTGACTTCTCTCCCTTCCCTGCTAAGTTGCTTCAAAGACTTGGTCTTTCAAAACTAATTCTGAAAAATGTGAGAGAACAGTAGTACCTATTTCATGGGAATACTGTAAGCATCAAATGAATTAGTATTTGCACAGGGTTTAGAGCCCTGGCTAATTGCTACATGATTTCTAGTGATTGCTATTATCAATATTCTTACTACTTCCTTGCAGGAAGTCATTGGAGCTTGGGAAAGGAGGCTGAGTGCGGGGGAAGAAACCTTTTCCCACCTTCTTCCCTCATCTTCCAGTCTTGCTTCCTCTCCTCCCCTCCCCCACTGAGGTTTAAAGATGGAGGAGAGACTGTGTGTCTCTTTTATTCCTGCTTGGGAGTGGCATTGACCATTGTACTAATGCTGCCCTGTACCCAGCCACCCTGCTTACTCAGATCCACAAGAAAGAACGTGGTGAGGGAGTGGGAGGGGGCTGGACTTCCTGCTCAGGAAACACTTGCTATGTGTGTCCTGCATGGGGCCAGCCTTTCAACCCCTTCTGCAGCCGTCCTTCTGACCCATTCCCACCAACTACTAAAAAACTGGGTGTGTACCTCTGGGCAAAGTCCACTCCTGAAGCGTACAGGAATAGGTGTAAGATCTGGAGGTAGAAAAACAAGGGCAGAGATGGCCAACATCCAGAGGCCCTGACAGTTGGGCAAACAAACTACACTTTTGTTTCCTTTTTAAAAAATGTTATTAGCATGTATTGTACCAAGGGGTTTTGTTATAATAGTTCCATGCATATATATAATGTACTTTGATTAAATTCATCTCCTCTGTTTCTCTTTCTCACCCCACCCTACTTTTAAAAACAATTTTAATAGATTTCATTGTTCTATTTCATATATATGTATGTAAGTATAAATAAAAATATATGATTATAGTAATCATATTCACAGCCCTTTTACCCTCTCTTTCTTCCCACTGGGTCAAACCCACAAGCATGAGAAAGAGATGGCCTTCCAAGTGCAAGAGGCTTTTTTTTTTTTTTTTTTTGCTTTTGTACCACTGTTATGAGACTCTTGGAATACCTGTGAAGCAGCCTTTATTATCTCAGAAGATTGAAAACAAAATACTTCATAAGTATATAGGAATTATAAATGGTATAAGTATAAAATTTATTGCATTAAGATACATCATATAAGCTGGGTACTGGTGGCTCATGCCTGTAATCCTAGCTACTCAGGAGGCTGAGATCTGAGGATCTTGGTTTGAAGCCAGCCTGGGCAGAAAAGTCCATGAGACTCCTATCTCCAATTAACCAACAGAAAACCAGAAGTGGTGCTGTGGTTCAAAGTGGTAGAGTGAAAGGTTTGAGCAAAAGGAACAGTGTCCAGGTACAAGCCCCAGGACTGGCAAAAAGAAAATACATTATATAATCTGTATGTTTAAGTTTTTTTGTTTTTGTAACTCTACTGGTGCAAAGGGGGTTTTAATGCTCCAGACATCCCACTTCCATTTTATATGAGGATTTCAATTTTTTTTTCTTTTTTCTTTTTGTTGGTTGTGAGACTTGAACTCTGGGCCTGTGCACTGTCCCTGAGCTTCAGCTCAAGAATAACACTCTACCATTTGAGCCACAATGCCGCTTTCAGCTTTTTCTGTTTATGTGGTACTGAGGAATCGAACCCAGGGCTTCATGCATGCTAGGCAAATACTCTACCACTAAGTCATATTCCCCAGCCCTGCTCTGCTACTTTGAGCCACAGCTCCACTCCAAGTTTTTAGGTGGTTAATTGGAGATAAGAGTCTCATAGACTTTCCTGCCCAGACTGGCTTCAAACCAAGACTCTCAGTTCTCACCCTCCTGAGTAGCTAGCATTACAGGCATAAGCCACGGGCACCTGGCTGTTCTAATGTTTTATGGATGACTCTTGCTTTCTGACTTTTATGGATGACTGTGTTTTCAAATCCGTTGCCTTGTTCAGTCTCCATTTTAAAAAAATGAAGCTTGCAAATTAACTATGTAACTTAAGAGTAAGGATAGGAGGGGGGAGTGGAGGAGAAAAGAAGGGGTGATGTTGACAAGAAGCATTGTACTCATAACCTGATTTGTGGAATTGTAACCCCTTTGTAAAACTACTTAGTAATAATAATATTAATAATAATAAAGAAAAAAAAAGCTAGAAATCAAAGGAAGAAAAGATCTCTGAAAGAGCTCCTGCTAGAGATATGGGGGAGTAGGGGTTAGGTGACTGAAATAGAGGCTGTGGGAGGTAGAAGGTTGAACAGGAACACAAAGCAATCGGGGAGTCTGGAAACTGGCCAGAGTCTCTGAACAGGAGGAAGGAAGCTTTCATTACCTGGCTGCTGCCTAAAGCTTGGCTCATACTTCCCTCCCAAGCTTGCTCTCTCCTTCAAGCCCATCTCCTTGCTTCCTACTGGTGTGGTCCTTCCCCAGATAGGCAGAGACAAGTGGTCCTATCCCACCCCATCCCACATTAGGGAGTGGAAGACTCCTCTACCTCCCTGTTGGTCTGGCTGGCCCAGAGGCTTTTGTAGGTAGGGGACTCCTCTTGGTCCTTCTGCCCTCCTCTATCATGTTGAGCAGATGTTAGCAGTATGTCTTCTTTTCTTCCTAGGATCTCCAACCCCTCTGGACATGCCGCTATTAGAAGATACTGTGGGAGTGGAGGACCTTGTCCTCCTGGAACCCTTGGAGGAGAAATCTATGCTTGAGAACCTTCAGCTTCGCTATGAAAACAAGGAAATTTATGTGAGTATGATATGGGTGAGCAGGCTCTGGGCATGTCTAGAAAGCTCACATCTCCAAGCCGAGGCTCTGGGCATGTCTAGAAAGCTCACATCTCCAAGCCGGGTGCTGGTGGCTCATGCCTGTAATCCTAGCTACTCAGGAGGCTGAGGTCTGAGGATCACAGTTCAAAGCCAGCCCAGGCAGGAAAGTCCGTGAGACTCCTACCTCCAATTAACCACCAGAAAACTGGAAGTGGTGGCTCAAGTGGTAGAGCTCTAGTCTTGAGCTGAAGAGCTCAGAGACAGCACTCAGCCCCAGAGTTCAAGCCCTACAACTGACCAAAAAAAAAAAAGAAGGAAGGAAGGTGAGGAAGGAAGGAAAAAGAAAGAAGAAAGAAAGAAAGAAAGAAAGGAAGGAAGGAAGGAAGGAAGAAAGAAAGAAAAAAGGAAGGAAGGAAGAAAGAAAGGGAGATAGAAAGTTCACGCCTTCACCTTCACCGTTCATGTTCACCTCACTCATTTCCTTCACCCTCTTCCCCTTTCCAGACCTACATTGGGAACGTGATAATCTCAGTGAATCCCTATCAACAGCTACCCATCTATGGCCCAGAATTCATTGCCAAATACCAGAACTATACCTTCTATGAGCTGAAACCTCATATGTGAGTAAAGAAACCCAGGGAAGGCCGAGAAGGTCCCATCTTTGTGATGATGAAGCATTCCTATTTCTCTTATCCCTTTTCCTAAAGAGAGCTCTCCAGCTGTGCCCCTACTCCCCTGGCCTTCTGGAGGCTCCTCACTAGGCCTAGCCCTACTTGCCTAGTCTGTCCTGTGTGCAGAGGGTAGATGAACCCAGTGCTGGGGATTGAGTAAAAGGTGGTACTTGGGGCTGGCTCATGTTAGTCATTGCCTACTCCTCCTTTCAAGCTATGCCTTGGCAAATATGGCATACCAGTCACTGAGGGATCAGGATCGAGACCAGTGTATCGTCATCACAGGCGAGAGTGGCTCTGGAAAGACTGGTGAGACACCTGGCTGGGGCAGTCATGAAGTCAACTCTGGAAAGCATCTGCTTGTGTCTGTTCCAAACCAGGCCTAGCCTTGTCCCAGGCATCAGCATTTGCTCCTTAGTTTTTCTGAGTTCTGAGGGTATGGTCTGAACTGCTGGGGTGCAGGGAATTGAGGAGGGAGGTGGGTGGTGTGTGTCCGGCCTGGTTGGGACTCCTTGAGTTTCTTGTGCACAGAGGCTAGCAAGCTGGTGATGTCCTACGTGGCTGCTGTCTGTGGGAAAGGGGAGCAGGTGAATTTGGTGAAGGAGCAGCTGCTCCAATCAAACCCAGTGCTGGAGGGTGAGCATTTTGGCCTCTGCCCTCTCCACTCTTCCTGCCCCTGGTCCCCCAGAGTCTCTCAGTCCTAGACTCTCCTCCAAAATCACTGCTCCCATTCAGCCTGCTTCCCATGACCTCCCTCCCCTAGAATCTTATGGTCTCCATAGCCACCTCACTTCCCCTTCCTGATCTCTGCAGCTTTTGGCAATGCCAAGACCATCCGCAATAACAACTCTTCTAGATTTGTGAGTGAACACATTTCCAGTCTTGGGGCAGGGCGGCTGGGAGGAGGAGTACAGAACTTCAGACAGGGAGATGAAAAGAGGTGGGAACAAATCCTTTCTCTGGTCTCTCTGAAGGGAAAATATATGGATATCGAGTTTGACTTCAAGGGATCTCCCCTCGGTGGTGTCATCACAAACTGTACGTGTCTCCTTCACATTCCTCACCAACTCTTGCTTGTTCTACCTGACCCATGATTTCCCTTTCGGCTTATCTAGTGTGTGTGTGTGTGTGTGTGTGTGTGTGTGTATGTGTGCGCGCGCGCGTGCTGGTACTGGGGCTTGAACTCAGGGCCTGGGTACTGTAGTTTTTAATTTAAGCCTAGTGCTCTACCATTTGAGCCAAGCCACTTCTGGCTTTTGGGTGGGTAATTGGAAATAAGGATCTCAAAAACTTTCTTGCCTGGGATGGCTTTAAACTGCAGTCCTAAAAATCTCAGCCTACTAAGTAGCTAGGATTATAGGCATGCGCCCCTGGAGCTCGCCACATCTACTTTTGAAAAAAGGAAGAGTATTAGGACTCCAGGAAGCTTCCCAGTAGAAACACCAAGGTTGAGGTGGAATTAGAAGGATCTGCCTGATGTCCCAGGGAAGTTATTTTCTAATTCTCTGTCAGATCTGCTTGAGAAATCCCGAGTGGTGAAGCAGCTCCAAGGAGAAAGGAACTTCCATATCTTCTATCAGCTGTTGGCTGGAGCAGACGCACAGCTGCTGAGTACGTGCCTGCCCTGGACATGTGAAAAGTCTCCCCAAACTCCATTCCACCTACAGAAACCCAGACCACTCTGAGGCCCTGCAGCCTCCTTCTTGAGGCCACCCAGACTTCTCTGTGTTTATATTCCCCATCAGGACCCTCTCAACCCATTATTAGGATTGAATCTCCCAAGTATTCTGTTCTTGTCCTTTGATGGGACTGACATCCAGGGACATACCTTTCTTGTTTAATTAATTAATTAATTGCTGGCACTGAGGCTTGAACTCAGGGCATGGGCACTGTCCCTTAGTGATTTTGTACAAGGCTAGTTCTCTACTACTTGAGCCACAGCTCCACTTCTGGCTTTTTGGTGGTTAATTTGGTGGTTAATACGGATCTCATGGATTTTTCTTACTAGGATGGCTTCAGATCTCCATTCTAAGATCTCATCTTCCTGAGTTTCTAGGATTATATCGCTAACCAGAACCTGCCTAGGGCTATGCCTTTCTTGTCTCCTTGCCGCTCTCATCTCCCTCCTGTCTGGATTTCTCTTTTGTCTGCTGGCTTCAAATATGGAATCAATCATCTATCTTCCTTCCTACTTCCAATTTGAGTGGCTATATTGAGAGTTCAGCGGGAAAGCAGGCAGGATGTTACAAAAGTGTTTAAGAACTTCCTAGGAACTCTAGTTGCAGCTATCCTGGACCTGTATCTTCCTTGCTGAGGACTATGTTCCTGGCTTTCTCTTCTTAACTAACTCTATGAATGTTTCAGCCACTCATTCACTCATCCTTATGCATCTCTGATCAGTCATTGTGCTAGTCTGTTGGTACACAGAGTTGAGTAAGTCATGGACCCTGTCCTCTAAGAACTCAGATTTCTGGAAGAGCATTTCAATGCAAGTGTGATTAGTGCCAGTAGGCCTGTGCAGGTGGCTAATGAGCAGAAGACATAGAGACCCTTACCTTATTCTGGAGAAGAGCCCAGGCCAGACTGGAAGCTGGACTGGCTAAAGGTAGCTCTCAGTGATGCTCACTACAGGGGTCCAGTGGGACTTAGGCCTTGCCAGAGTTTATGGTTCAATCTCCTCTCCAGCTGTGAAAATGGGTTTCAGGCCCCTAAGACTGTCCCTTTGGTTTGTTTTTGTTCTATGCTGAACCTATGTCTAACTACTTCCTTCCTGCTTGAGATCTGTGTGGGTCAAGAGTCCCCACAGGTCATCACCTTGACCTTATTAGGTCAAAATGATGTTCAAGGTGATGCTCAATTTGTTGAAGTCATAGGTTCAAGAGTCTATCACCTGTCAGTTTAAGCCAAGTCTGAGATTTCCTTGGTATTAATATCCAAAGGATTTCTGACTCATTCTCCCTTCAATTTAGCAGGCTCCTGTTTCAAGATTTGTGTGCTTAATCTGGGCATCTAACGTGTTTCATGCCTGTATTTCTACCTATTCAGGAGGCTGAGATCTAAGGCTCGAGCTTTAAAGCCAGCCAAGACAGGAAAGTCCATGAGACTCTTATCTCCAATTAACCACTAAAAAGCCAGATGTGGGTCTATGGCTTTAGTGATAGAGCACTAGCCTTGATCACAAAAAGCTCAGGGATAGCTCCTAGGCCCCACAACTTGCACAAAAATTTTAAATAAATAAAAATAAGGTTTTAGTGCTAGAGGGAACTGCAGTTAAACTACAGTTTGAGATATATTCCATGATCTCAAGTAATTTGCCTAAGAGATAAATAATACCCTCAAACTCCAGGATTAGACCAGTTCTTCCTATCATAAATATTCTGAATATTTCCTTGATGCATTTATTAAAATAAAAGATCCTGCTTGTTATCCAGGCACGTGGATTATGGAGATGAGAAACAGTTCCAACCGACAACTTGCTCATTTGTGGGAGAGATAGAAAAACCAAGCCCTAGCTCATGTGATAGGGGCTGGGATAAAGATTTGCCACACAGGGGGATGCAAGACCATTGATTGAGTTCAGTCCTTCAATATCAAAGGAAGCATTCCACAGGAGATGTCAGGGCCAGGGAACAATTATCTCTTACTTTGTTGGTACCTAATGAACAAACAATGAATCAACCCAGACTGAAAGTGAGTTAGGTGCTGAGGCTGAAGTGGGTAGGAAGCACTGAAGTCTGAGCAGGATGAAGAAGGTTTTTTGTTTGTTTGTTTGTTTGTTTGTTTACTATTTGCATTATTTAGAACCTGGAAGGTTCTATCTTTTTTCCAGTTGGATCCTGGAGGGGTTCAATAAAGCTTTTCTTTCATAGTTGTTGTGGAGAAACTCCAAGTGTGAGTACCCAAACCTAGACTACTTAAAATTGAGTCTATTATTGTAGAAATTATGATCTCCTAATCCAAGAAACAGAGGAAGGACTTAAACCAAAAATGGTTCCTTTGATTAAAAGAATGAAGCCCCTCAGAGCAAAGCTGTTGAGGTGTGAAGGCTGGTGGGGGGGCAGGCAGGGGAGAGCAGGTACTAACCTTCTTCCTCCATTTTGACCTTCCCAGAGGCCCTGAAGCTGGAACAAGACATAAGTTGCTATACCTATCTGAACCCTGAGGTGTCCAGAATAGGTGGCATGGATGATGCCTCCAACTTCAGGGCTGTTCAGGTGGGTGCTCAGGGCAGGGCAGCCTTGGGTTCTTAGGCTCTTCCCGAAGTCCAAGCTCTGGCTTTCAGCATTGGACTGGTACCACCAGCTCACTTGATATCTGCCTTCTTCCCTAAGAGGGCAATGACCGTGATTGGGTTCTCAGAGGAGGAAATTCGACAAGTGTTGGAGGTAACTGCTCTGGTGCTGAAGCTGGGGAACGTGGAGATGACTGACGAATTCCAAGCCAATGGGATACCAGCAAGTGGCATCCGTAACGGGAAAGGTTTGTGGCACCCTGCCGAAGCTCCACCTTGAGTCTCCTATTTTGAGTTCTTGTACCATGTCTAGTGTAACCAGCCTCACTCTGATCATTCCCATGTGGCCCACTCCTGAGGTCTTCCCTTGGGAAGCATTCCTTGTGAAGCATTTTGGAACAAGATTTTCAAATTTGATAGACCTAGGTCTGGGACTTCTCAGCCTCTCAGTTGACTCTTCTACAGTGGGGGTAAGCACATTTATCAGGAGATTTAGAGAGTGTGTAGTAAATGCCCAGATCTACCTACTCTGCAGCATACTTTCAGCCCCTATTCCTCTAGGGCTGTCAATGTAGTCCGAATCAACTACAATGACTTCCCCACCAAGACTGGTGGCAGTTCCTTATCAGACTTTCTCTCCTACCAAGATAAGGACTTCTCTTGATACCTTGTTATATTTCCTCATCACCTCAGGTATTCAAGAGATTGGGGAGATGGTGGGTTTGAATTCTGAGGAACTAGAGAGAGCCTTGTGCTCAAGAACCATGGAAACAGCCAAAGAAAAGGTAGTCACAGTATTGAATGTCATCCAGGTAAGAGAGGTTCTGTCGGGACTGATTTTATCTGTTTTGTGGCTGTCACAATAACTAGGTAACACATATCCCTCATCCTCCAACTGTGTCCCCCACTCAGGCTCAGTATGCACGAGATGCTCTAGCTAAGAATATCTACAACCGCCTCTTCAACTGGATAGTGAATCGAATCAACGAAAGCATCAAGGTGAGCCCTCTTTCTCAATATTCTTTGACTTTCACCTTCTCACCCTGGCCATCAGCTCCTTCCTTGGTTTCTAAGATTAAACAGAGAGGAGGATGAGAGGGAAGGTGCCTTCTAGTAGTTCCTTCTGATAGTAAGTTTGAAAATCTGATCCATTTATTTCTCAGCCATGTCATCATTCAGTTTCACAAAGATGCTGAGCCCCAGTTTCTTGATAGACATGATCACTAAAACAAAAAACACTAAGGCCCACCTGCTTCCCAGAATTGACTACTGATCAGGTTAAAATGATGCACACAGTTGCCTAGGTATACATCCAAGAGAACTGGAAACAGGTATCTTCACAGAAACTTGTATACAACTATTCATAGAAGTATTATTCATAATAGACCAAAAGTTAGGAACTACCCATGTGTCCATCAGATGAATAGGTAAGCAAACTGTGCTACAGAGTACTATTTGGCAATAAAAAAGGAGCAAAGTTCTTATATATGCTGCAGCACTGATGCCTTGACAACATTATGGCTGTCACAAAATACTACCTTTTATATAATGCTGTTCACATGAAATGTGAAGAATCAGCAAATCTACAGAGCTAGGAAGCAGATCAATGATTGTCAGAAGCTTGGGGAGAAGGAAAGGAAGAGTAGCTACTAATGGGGATAAGATTTCTTTGGTGGAGGGCTGGGAAGGTGGCTCAGTGGTAGAGCGCTTGCCTTGCATGCATGAGGCCCAGGGTTCAATTCCTCAGCACCACATAGTAGAAAAAAAAAGTCGGAAGTGGTGCTGTAGCTCAAGTGGTAGCACGCTAGCCTTGAGCTGAAGAGCTGAGGGACAGCGCCCAGGCCCAGAGTTCAGGCCCCACAACTGGACCCCCCCCCCCACCAAAAAAAGAAAAAAAAGATTTCTTTGGTGGAATGATGAAACTGCTCTGGAATCAGGTGGTGGTGAAGGTTATATAAACTTCTTGGTTAGTGTCACCCCCTTTTACCCTTCTCCCTCTCTCTCCCAGTTCCTCCCAGCTCCTCAGTTTTCCTAGTTTCATAGGCTGTGCATTCAATATTATGATTGCATTCTCCCTCTACTTCCTCTCTTTATATAAACTTTTGGATAACTTAAAAAACCCACTGAATTATACCTGGTATATAAGTTATATTCAATACAGCTGTTATTTATTTACTTAAATTTTGTGGAATCCAACTCCAGGCTGCATGCATGTGAAACATATGCTGTGCCACTGAGCCATCCCCCTAATTCCAATAAAGCTGTTAATAAGCACTTATCTACAAGAAAATGGCATCTATTTCGAAGGTATCACTGAAAGGTTTCTGGATATGGTAGGGTCTGAATTGAAGATGAGGTAAATGCCTTTTCTTTCTGCAAGCTGATTATTTTTATCTGTACAATGGGAATAAATACCTTATAAAATTACGAGAAGCTTATTAAATGGCATGGATTTTTTAAAAAATATGCTACAAATATTAGGAATGATTATTATAGTTTCTTTTATTTTTCTGAATACTACGCCTTGAACTTTGGGTCTCATGCTCGTGCTTGGCTTTTTCAATCAAAGCTGGCACTCTACAACTTGAGCCACAGCTTCACTTCCTGCTTTATGCTGTTTAACTGGAGATAAGAGTTTCATGAACTTCCTTGCCCAAACTGTCTTTGAACTTCAGTCATCAGATGTCAGTCTCCTGAGCTGCTAGGCTTACAGGCACGAGCCACTAATATCCTGAGAGGATTTTAATGTTTTCTAGCCTCAGACCATGGAAACACCATCCTGGAATCTATTTACATTTCTCCTTCCCTCCTTCCTTCTTGCTTGTCCTAGAAGAGGAAGAAGAGCAGACACTGTGGCTTCTTTTCAGCTCTGTCAAGCTCACTTTAGCTCTGTTTGCACGTCTTCTCACATCATCTTCCCAAGAGAACCCTTGCTGGGTGTGCCCAGGGAATCTGTTCTAAGACTTATCCTTTGATTTTCGTTAGGTAGGCACTGGAGAGAAGAAGAAGGTTATGGGGGTCCTGGATATCTATGGCTTTGAAATACTGGAGGTGAGAGCCTTGCCAAATCTTACCAGCCTGCTCCCCTAGATTTTAGGGGATACAGGCTCACAGGTGGAGGTAAGAGACGGGGCTGTGAGGGGAGAGAGGTCTCAGGTGAGTTGGTCTCTCTCTTTAATCCTCAGGATAATAGCTTTGAGCAGTTTGTGATCAACTACTGCAATGAGAAGCTACAGCAGGTATTCATAGAACTGACCCTAAAGGAAGAGCAAGAGGAGTACAAGAGAGAGGTAAGCCATGTCTTCTCCCTGCTCACCTTCTTAAACCACCCCCAGACGTATACCAGATCTTCCTTCCTCCTCCATCACAACTTCTCTAAATTGTCCCCAGATGGAACACAAAGGACAAAGTTGCCATCGCACAGCTGAGCATTCAGCATTACTAAGTAGCCAGGACGTTCTGCTCCCCAGCCTCCCACTCTAGGCCAGGCCAAGCAGATGACAGATTGATAGAAGGGTGTGTGTGAGGAGAGTCCTGACAAGAGTGAAGTGACAGCTGTACTTGGCCTATGGCAGACTGTGAGCCAAATTTAGAAGGGATATTTCTCCTGGGCTTGGCACCCTACCACATCTCTGACTATGCCCTTCTCCAATATCTCAGAATCTTTTGTCTCCTCCAGGCACTAGCTGATGTTGCTGTCCCCTTTTATAGCACCCTGAATCCAGACTCCTTCACAGGAAGTGCCCTTGGCTCCAAATTTCCACACTCTTTCCCTGATTCAGTGCAAACTTCAGTTGTCTATGGCTAGGTGTTACTTAGAAAAGCTCTCTGATTGAGCTAATCCAACCGGAAGTGTTAGTGGCAGAGAGTCTTACTCATTAAAACCCTTCCAGGGATGTTCCCTCGTGTACTCTCAAGAATCTGTTATGGCAATATGGCCCCAATATTTTCACAATTTAAATTCTCAAATAGATAATGCATTCCCATGTTCCAAGATTCAAAGAACTTATAGGAGTACACAGATAAAGGTCTCCCTCCTACCTCTGCCTTCAGCCTCCCAGGTCCCCTTCTCTTCCAAAGGCAACTAGACTGGGCCTCCTTCTTCCCGAAGATCTTTTGCAGGTGCACAAGCAAATATGTAAATAAATTTTTCTATAAAGTTTAGACAAAGTCCAGTACATGCTGTCTGTTATGGACCTTATCATTCATCAGTTAACAAGAGCTCTCCCATATCAGTATATAAAGATCCTTTTCACAGCTACATTGTAAGGATATCATATTCATTTAACTGGTTGAGGTATTATGGGGATGAAGTGGGAGGGAAACTTTTTCTCTAAGGGTCAGTGAAGGAGAAAGAAAAGCAAAGTTTACACTTCCCAGTCACATTTGGGAATAGCCCCAGTCTGAGACACCTAGAACCTTGGGAGCAATGAGAAGCTATCCTGCCTGTGGACCTCATGTTCAGCACGTTCTCAGAGCAGAGAGCAATTGTCTCTGGGTCAATTGTCATCTTTTGTACGAAGCTTTTTAAAAAAATGATGTAATGCCAAAGTATGGTGTGAATCAGTGGTTCTTAAAATGTGGCCCTGGACCAGTGGTGTCAATATAATTTGGGAGCATATGAAAAATGTAATTTCCCCAGCACCATCCCAGAGCTGCTGAATTAGGAGGGTGAGGTAGGAAGGAAGACTCCCACCAATCTAGGTTACAGTGAGTGCATTGTGATGCACTCTTAAGCTTGAAAATCACTGATGTAGATAGAGCTCTGGAGACACATCAACTTGGCTAATTACTTGATGAGAAACTCTTTCATGCATTATAGTTTTATAGTTTATTATCAGAGTGGTCATCTGCTACATACACCTGGGTCCCTCCCCAGTCCCACACTAGTGTTCTGTCTGTCCCAACCTCCACTTGACACATTACATTTCTCTCTGGCTCTATTCCACCTACAGAGCTTTCTGCATTGTCTCATCTTCATTCACAGGTGCCCTGGTTCCCCACACATGTCTATTTGCCCATGTCACAAAATTTCCCACCCATTTTGGAGGAATGGATTTTGAGTAGAACCAAAACAAGGATCCTCTGAACTATGGGATTTTCTGATGGTTCTTTGTAGTGAGAGTGGCTAAAAGGAAGGCTGGGTCTGATGAAGTCTTTGGAGACTTGACTTGGACTTGCCCTTGCAACTGATGTCTCCCCTTACCAGGGCATAGCATGGACAAAGGTGGACTACTTTGATAATGGCATCATCTGTAACCTCATTGAGCATGTGAGTGATCTTTCTCTTCCTTCTGGGAATCTCCCTTTCCAGACTACCCAAACATCCTTCTCCTGTTTCTCTCCTCCCTGCCCCACTTGGTAAAGATGATAAAGGAGAAAAAGGGCAAGAGCAGGTTGATGAAGCAACAGCGAGAATGTGTACATCTTGAAAGACCAGATGTATGTTGCACTCATCTTGTTCTTGGCCTAGAACCAGCGAGGCATCCTGGCTATGCTGGATGAAGAGTGTCTGCGCCCTGGAGTGGTCAGTGACTCCACTTTCCTAGCAAAGCTGAACCAGCTCTTCTCCAAGCATAGTCACTATGAGAGCAAAGTTACCCAGAATGCCCAGCGCCAGTACGACCATACCATGGGACTCAGCTGCTTCCGTATCTGCCATTATGCAGGCAAGGTAATGTAGTAGGGCTCAGGGCAATGACTAGGGCCAGGGCACAAACTGAAGGCAGTGGGCAAGATGCTACTGAGGATACTTTAGAATGCAACTGGGAGGACCAAGCAGAACAGGACCATGGGGTCTCCAAACCACAGATATTCCTCTACAGGTAACATACAATGTGGCTGGCTTCATTGACAAGAACAATGACCTGCTCTTCCGAGACCTGTCCCAGGTCATGTGGAAGGCTCGCCATCCTCTCCTTCATTCCTTGTTCCCTGAGGGAAATCCCAAGGAAGCATCTCTCAAGCGCCCTCTGACTGCTGGGGCCCAGTTTAAGAGTTCTGTGGCCATACTCATGAAGAACTTGTATTCCAAGAACCCGAACTATATCAGGTGACAAGCTGGGCACCCAGGGGAACATGCTTCATGTCTGATGGCATGTGCAAGGTCTATGTGCTGTAGAACATGTCCAGAGGAGTAACTCTGGAAAAGGGTCTTGGAGGCCCATTCTTACAGAAAACAGAGGCCAGTGAGGAGCTGAGTATCCCAAGGCTGGGAGGAGAAGCATTAGGGTAGTAAGTAAAATTGGGAAGGCCAAGGGGTGAGATTCTGCTTTGACTGAAAATTTCTAGTAAGGGAGCAACTGTGTACAGATTGGGGTATGGAGATCAGGATAGGGTCTACCAGCAAGGTATCCACTCCTGAACCCCTAAGCCTTTCCCCCACCCCCTTCCTAGGTGCATAAAGCCTAATGAGCATCAACAGCGTGGTCAGTTTTCTTCAGAGCTGGTAGTAGTCCAGACACGGTACTTGGGGTTGCTCGAGAATGTACGGGTGCGCCGAGCTGGCTATGCCTTCCGCCAGGGCTACAAGCCCTTCCTGGAAAGGTACCGACTGCTGAGCCCGTGCACTTGGCCTTACTGGAATGGGGGAGACAGGTAAGACCCAGTGGGCTGAAGCCAGTGGATGGATACTTAGGGAAATTAGAATTATGTTTCCAGGGCTGGAAGGACATAGGGGCTTTTCAGCAGCTTTCTCCCATCTGCCTGTAGGGAGGGGGTTGAGAAGGTCCTGGGGGAACTGAGCATATCTTCAGAGGAGCTAGCCTATGGAAAAACAAAGCTCTTCATCAAAAGCCCCAAGACTGTGAGTTGGGGAGAACACATGTGTGGGAATGGGAGGAGTCCAGGGCCCACATGGGGAAGAGGTCGGAGGGGAAGAGAGTCTCTGGAATAGGGAGTGGATGGGAAATCTCTGCCCCTGGGAACTGAAGGCTTGTTTCCACTCTGCCTTCTTCAGCATCATCTAAGAGAAACTGCAGCCCTGCGGGCTACAGGAAGAGAGAAGCTAGCTGTTTCTCCCCACGTTTCTTCCCTCCCCAGCTTTTCTACCTGGAGGAGAAGAGGCACCTGAGACTCCAGCAACTGGCTATCCTCATACAGAAGGTTTACCGAGGCTGGCGCTGCCGTACCCACTACCAGCTCATGCGGAAGAGTCAGATTCTCATCTCTGCTTGGTTTCGGGGTAACAAGGTGCAGTCAAAGTCCCATTCTGTTTACTCTTATTGCAGTGGGAGAAATGGTTCGGGATGTGGATTTTTCTATCAGGCCCAATCTTTTCCTACAGCAAAAGAAACACTATGGGAAGATGAAGGCATCGGCATTGCTGATCCAAGCTTTTGTGAGAGGATGGAAGGTAATGAGGAGTGCAGAGGAGTTTCCTGTCCACATATGACCCCTTGTGGGTTGTGCTTGCTACTGGGGGGGGAAGCCTAGAGGACTAAGACCTACCAACACCCTTCCTTGAGGATGGCCTGTGTGTGGGTGTGGGATGAGAAGACTTATACGTGTGCATGGGTGTGCCTGTGCTGTAGCTGCCCTCCTTTGGCATCTTGTCTGACTTTATGCCCTCCTTCCCAGTCTGTTTTAGGTATGGTTGAAAAAGTGGCAGAACCTCATCTAGAATCTGTCTTTTCTTTTTGTTCCTACCAGGCTCGTAAGAATTATCGAAGATATTTCCGGTCAGGAGCTACCCTCACCTTGGCAAATTTCATCTACAGGAGCATAGTAAGTACTTGGGTTAGGATGGAAAATGGAGAGGTTGAGGTGGTTGGGACAGGCTTGGGAAAGGAAGAGGTGACCTGAAACTCCCTCTGAGAATTTCTCCAAACCTGAAAAGAGGGGATGAAGCAGCAGTTTTGGGGGAGCAGACCCTGGAATCCTTGGGGTCCAGCACAGACTAAGAGAGCATTTTAATTTGAGTGGACATTGCAGGCTGGCATCCTGAGGCAGGAAGGAGTCTTAGCACTCCCACCATCTTGGCCATGGGCAAATAGGCTGGAGGAGAGTTTGAGGCTGAGCATTTAACAGCTATAGGCAGAGGGATAACTGTCTAACCTTCCAAGATCCACTTTGGGATGAGTCTAGAGGAATCATATCTTCCCTCTATTCCCTCTGAACCCACAGCAGGCCAAGGGAGAAAATAAATCAGGTAGGACTTCCCCCAATTCTAGAGGACTGAAAGTGAGAAGGAAGAAGCTAAGCCTGGGCTACACATCCAAACTCTGGGCAGCTTCTAGCGGAGGAAAAGAGAGTTAGAGAAGAATGATTTCTGGAGATACCTATCAGCCAGTAAGGGTGCTTCCCAAGATACACTGGGGAGAGATCAGTGAGGCCTTAAGAAAGGGAAGGGAACAGAGGGAGGAGCAGGGCTCTGGCCAAAGGACTGCAGTAAGTTATAACTAACCCCCACTGATGGCATCAGACAGCTGATAGGACCCACCATATATGGACCACCATGAAGAGTCAATGTTCTTCTTTTTTTTTTTCTGCTGATCCTGGGGCTTGAACTCAGGACCTGGGCACTGTCCCTGAGCCTCTTTGTGCTCAAGACTAGTACTCTACCACTTAAGCTGCAGCGCCACTTTAGGCTTTTTTTTTTTTAGTAGTTTATTGGAGGTTAGAGTCTCACAGGGACTTTTTCTGCCCAGGCTGGCTTCAACCATGATCCTCAGATCTCAGCCTCCTGAGTAGCTAGAATTATAGGTGTAAGACACCAGCACCTGGCTACGTGTTCATTCTTAAATTTTTATTTTAGTGTTTATTTATTTAGTGATGGTCCTGGGGCTTGCTCAAGGCTAACACTCTACCACTTAAGCCACAGCTTCACTCTGTGTGTGTGTGTGTGTGTGTGTGTGTGTGTGTGTGTGTGTGTGTGTGTGTGTGTGGTGTGCGTGCGCATGCGTGTGTGCACTTAATGGAGGTGTCAAGGACTTTCCTGTCCTAGCTGGCTTTGAATTGTGATCCTCAGATCTAAGTAGCTAGGATTGCACATGTAAAATTATCTTTAAATAGTTGTATAAAGGGGTTTCAGTTCAACATTTTGAGTACAATGCATCTTGAGGCACTTTCATTTGAACCCTTGGTTGTCATCAGCAATGCTTGATCTTTCAGCTGACTTAATGAATGGGAGGCCTGAAGCTGGGACCTCATTGCTTCCCAGTTTTTGCTTCCGCCTTGGTTCCCCAAGGCAAGTTCCTTCCTCCAAAACCTCGTCCTGTCCTGGCCTCCTGTCCCACCGGCTCCACTGTGTCTGCCATTGCAGTATACATGCTCTCTTGCTACATACCTGAGACCTCTAATCTGATTTTGCGCTTGTCTCCTGACAAGCACCTGGATTTTATCAAGTAGCTGCTGAATATCAACGTAGGATCCCCATAGAAACATGCAGGGGGCTGGGCACAGATTTCTTCCTCCAGTACTTCTCACTAGTCCATAGTTTGCCAAGCCTTGCCTATATCTGAGGCTAGGGCAGTATCTTTTCAACACTTTCTATGTGCTAAGTTGTTCTCATGTTTAACATTTTTTTTCACCTGCCCTGGGGTTTAAACTCAGGGCCTGGTACTGGCCCTGAGCTTCTTCTGCTCAAGACTAAAGCTCTTGAGCCACAGCTCCACTTTGGCTTTTTGGTAGTTTACTGGAAAAAAAAAGTCTTAAAGATTTTCCTGCCCAGGCTAGCTTTGAACCACAATCTTCAGATCTCAGCATGAGTCACTAGCATCTGACTTCACATGCTTAATTCATAAGGCTTTCAACAACCCTGTGGCATAGGCCTTTTGCTTTCCCCATTTTATAGGTTAAGTAACTTGCCAAAGGTCCCACAGTTGGTAAATAGTAGAACTGGAATATGAAGTATGGGACTCAGAGCTTTTATCCACTGCTTAAGATTATACCAACTAAAAGGAGTCAGGGAAACTCATTATCCTAGGCAAGGAGAAAAAAAAAACAAGCTAAAATAAAACCCTCAGGAAGACCTGTACTCCACACTAGTGGGAACAAAGAGTACTATGGGAGAAGCTTAGGAATATTTGTTGACTCACCTGGGCATCCAGAGAAGGCTTTGAGCTGCTCCTGTGAGGATGAGCAATGTCTAGGTTGGTGGAGCTGTGCTAAGCACAGCATGAGTGGGTATGAGCTGTGTGTAGGCCATGGCACGGAGCCTGTGTGGTTGATGACTGGGAGTTCAGGGAATCCTGTGACTTGACCTTGGGAGCCAAGTAGAGGACTTTGAATAGCAGGCTGAAGTGTTTGGCTCCACTGGTCAAAGAAGTGGGCGGATTTGGTAAACAAGCCAACAGTACCTAGCACCTCTAAGCACTTGAGAGCTGAGAGAATAGGAAGCTTCAGGAACAATTGGTTGAAACTTACTTTGATTAATATTTATTTATTTATTAGCGACCATGGGGCTTAAATTCAGGACCTGGGCACTGTCCCTGAGCTATTTTGTTCAAGGCAATTGCTCTACTACTTTGAGCCACAGATCCACTTCTGGTTTTCTGGTGGTAAATCAGAGATAAGAGTCTCACGACTTTCCTGCCCAGGCTGGCTTTGAACCTCGATCCTCATATCTAAGCCTCCTGAGTAGCTAGGATTACAGGCATGAGCACCAGTGCCTGGCATGAAACTTACTTTTATATTGGCTCATTCCACCTCACCAACCTGCTTGGCTGGCCTCTGGTTGGAGATAATGCTCTCCCATTCCCGCTCTTACCTCCCAGCCTCAGACCTATTCTGCCCATTGATAGAATGCCAGAGAAGACTCCCTTTCCTCCCTCCAGCTCTGCTCTGGCTTCTTTCTCACCAGGGGTGGCCTTCCCTGTTGTCAGTGGCAGGATCTGGGCATGAGTCTGCCTGCCAGGAAATGGCTCTTATCATTCCCCCTCGAATCCCCTGCTTCCAACCTAGGCACAGAAATTCCTGCTTGGCCTGAGGAACAATTTGCCATCCACCAATGTCTTGGACAACAGGTGGCCAGCTGCCCCTTACAGTTGCTTTAACACAGCTAATCGGGAGCTGCAGCAGATCTTCCGCCAGTGGAAGGTGAGACCTAGCACCTCTCCCCTCCCTTCTGGTTTTCCACCTCCCTCTCATTTCCCTCCTCCTTCTATTCTCCCCACTTTTATCTTTTACTGTAATAAACTATAATATTTATCATCAACCATTTTTTTGGGGGGTCCCGTTGTGGGGCCTGAACTCTGGGCCTGGGCGCTGTCCCTCAGCTCTTCAGCTCAAAGCTAGCACTCTACCACTTGAGCCACAGCGCCACTTCCGGCTTTTTTTTTTTTTTGTTTATGTGGTACTGAGGGATCGAACCCAGGGCCTCATGCATGCAAGGCAAGCACTCTACCACTGAGCCACCTTCCCAGCCCCCCATCAACCATTTTTAAGTGTGCAGTTAGTGTTATTTAGTACATTCAGATTGTTGCATGATCATCACCACCATCCATCTCTGTACTTTTTTTACTTCCCCCTCCAAACTGCAATGCACACCCATGTACTACTCTGCCATGACTGTCCATACCCCCACCTAACCACAAATCTATTTTCTGTGTCTATGTATTTGACCAATGTAGATATCAGCTACAATAAGTGGAAATTGTACAATATTTGTCTTTTTGTGCCTGACATATGTTACTCACAGTGTTCTTACACATCTAGGAAATACTTGTGGAGCCCCTCTGTAGGCTGGGCATATGCCCTCAGGGTACCTGCATTTGCTAGTTTCCATTCATCCCCCACACCTCTCAGTGCTCTCAGTCCTACTCACTCATCCTCCAGCTGGTCCCTGCCCTCTCCTGAAGTATCTACTGCATTACTGTCTCTCTGTTCCCCTTGTGTCCTCTAGTTCCTATCTTTATTTCCCTCCTCAACCTTTCCCTCTTCCACCATGATCTTAACTCCTGTTCTTTGCTCTTCACAGTGCAAGAAGTTCAGAGATCAGCTGTCCCCAAAGCAGGTGCAGACACTGAAGGAAAAGCTCTGTGCCAGTGAACTGTTCAAAGGGAAGAAGGCTTCCTATCCCCAGAGGTAAAGGCCCCTAGACTACTACCCACACAGCCAGTTCCATCCAATGGTCATTCTCAAGCTTGTGCCTGCATCAGAAAGTTGCCTGGCAGGATTGTGAACCCCAGATGCTGTGTCCCCTCCTCAGAGTCTGACTGAGTAGGTGGGGGGGGGGGGTCCATCCTGTGTGAGACTGATGGTGTTGCTCCTGGCCCATGCCTGTGACTCCCTGAAACAGGAGGGGGCAGAGTACTAGGAGGAACACTTGGGAAAGGAGGAATAGGGCCTTGTTCCCCACTGTACACCTCCTGTGTGTCTTCAGTGTCCCAGTTCCATTCCGTGGTGACTACGTTGGGCTTCAGGGAAATCCCAAACTGCAGAAGCTGCAAGGGAGGGATGAAGGGCCTGTTCTGATGGCAGAGACTGTGAAGAAGGTCAACCGTGGCAATGGCAAGGTGAAGAATTACAGCTTAACCCCTCCCTACAGGGGTTTCCAGGCCTGGATGGGCAGCACTGTGTGTGTGTGTGTGTGTGTGTGTGTGTGTGTGTGTTCGCGTGCTGTACAATATACAGGGTACATAAGTAAGGATTAACTCTAACTGTCCCTCATTCTTTCTTCTTCCCACTATTCTCTTTTCTTGTAGACTTCTGCTCGAATTCTTCTTCTGACCAAGGGGCATGTGATTATCACAGACACCAAGAAATTCCAGGCCCAAACCATCATTGGGCTGGATAGTGTGGCTGAAGTGTCAGTCAGCAGCCTCCAGGATGGGCTTTTCAGCTTGCATCTGAATGAGGTAGCAGAATGGGGTGCAGAGAAGGGGGTGGGCATCCCAGGGGTGGGGCAGACTAAAAGAGCTGGGACCAGACCTCTTACTCTGGGCCTTTGATGTCACTCTGGGTGCTTCTAAGGAGAAAATAAATGAATCTCTTTCCTACTGTTTTCCTTCTTCCTAAGATAACATCAGTGGGCTCCAAGGGAGACATCCTGTTGATCAGTGACCATGTGGTTGAATTACTGACAAAAATGTACCAGGCTGTTCTGGATGCCACACAGAGGCAGCTTTCTGTCACCGTGACTGAGAAGTAAGGCCATGAGCTGGTGGTGAGGGACAGATTGGGACAGATGACCGGGCTCATGGTCATTGTGACCGGGGAAATCATGCGATCAGAAAGTGAAGCATACTGTGTCAGGGCAGGGCTTGGAGGTGTTTCTTGGTCCCCACCCAAGTTCTCTGGGGCCTTGAGTCATCTGACGGGGTGGAGGGGTGGGGAGTGGGAGGATGGGGGTGGGGTGGGAGAATGTACCATGTGCTTGTTTCAGGGAGGAATGGGGATCCATTGTTGAAATTCTGGAATAGGAGTGAGAGGATGCAGATGTTAGCTTCAGTTCTGCAACTTGTTCTCCCTCTAGGTTTTCAGTGAGGTTCAAGGACAAAAGCGTGGCTGTCAAGGTTATCCAGGGCCCTGTAGGTGGTGGGAAGAACAAACTAATTTGCAAGAAGAAGGGGAGTCACCTGGAGGTCACGGTGCAGTGAGGGGCTGGCTGCTGCCCCACAGAGATACAGCATCTTTCTCCCGGACCAGCATGAACCCCCTCTGCCTGCCTTTGGGGTGGGGGTGGAGGGAAATCTCATGTCTAGCCCCTCTGATGGTAAGGTGAAATAAAGAGAACACTTAAAATGCCATGTTTCTCCCTGACCCTTCCAGAACTCTTCTTCAAATGCAGTGGTCTCAGTCTGTTTGTCTACTAATAAAGATCATGTCATTCAGAAAGGTCTGGTCAGTGTGGGTGGGTCCCTGTTCCCCTGTCTCCTAACCCACTTGCATTTAGACCCTTCTTCTCCATGCCCTTTTCTGTCCCTCAGGCTCCTGGGAGCCAGCTAGTACAGATAATAAGGGAAAAGAAAGGAAATTGTCTCTGGGCTCCTTGACCGGCTGAGCTCTAGCTGGGTTTTGAGAGACCAGGATGGAAGGTAGGAGAGCGGGAGTCGGGGATAGGGCTCAGGTCGCAGGTGGCCAATGGGCTGATTCATTAAGTGTGTCCCTGGAGGGAAGAAGTAAGGATCCCTGCAATGGTGGAGACTGGGATTCTTTGAAGATTTAGCCTGAAAAGAGGCCCAAGACTGGAGGGCTCATGCATGCAAGCTGAGGTGAGCTGGGGAGTGTAGGGTCCCCTGTACCCAGGAGCTCCATCTCCCCTCCACTCAGCAGTGGGCTGCATCACACCTGCCTCCTGAGCATTCCCTGGCTTTCCATGTACCTGAGATGCTCAGCTGCTGCCAACAGTTATCTGGCTAATCACAATTCCCCACCTGAGGCCTGTAGCTGGTGGCAGGCAACAGACTCCTCCACCCAGGCTCTGGCATTCCCCGTGACTCAACCCCTGTCTTCTGTCACTGTCATTTTGTTTCTCAGTCTCCAACTATCTCACACCATCTTATTGTCCCCCATTTGTGTGGGCTCTGATTAATATTAATATGTAATAATTTTTTTCACTCTCCTCCAGAGCGATTTCCCCATAGACACTGCCTTGTCTCCCCATCGCTCTCTCTACTTCGTGAGGGAACACACTGCTTCTACATCCGCAGTGAAATTTAGATCAGCTGTCTGTGAGGGCTTACAAAGGGCTGCCATTGTTACCAGTTCTGGAAGTCCGCTTCTTCCCTGCCTCCTCTGCTGAGCGCTGAGCTCCGCTGTGTCTTAAGGCTGGGGTCTCCCTCACCTCGCTTCCAGGTTCTATCGGCAGGCAGCTCACGGCCCCAGGTAATCATGCTGGCTGGGAGACCTGATTAAACTTGCCTCCTGCCTGCAGATTAATCTCATTCTCTGAGCTCAAGCCCCCTGCTTCAGCATACCCTGCTCGGAGCTGAGATGGGACCCAGTCATGAGCTCTTCGTAGGTGGGCGAGGGACTAGAACCTGTTGTGAGGGGGGCCATCTAGAGGAAGAGTCGCTCAGATTCTGGCTAGCCTCCTTCCTGACAACTTCCCCATCCTCAGCTTCTCAGAATCAGGCCATGAAGATCCTGTCTGGCTAAGAGGCGGGTGGTGACCTGAGCCCAATCGCCCCCGCTCTCTGCCTCATCTCCTGCTCCCAGGGCCCAAATTGTCGTCACTTTCCTACTGAAGTGTCTGGTCATTTTCAGAAGCAATTTCAGGAGAAAATGCAGCTGCTGCTCCCTATCCTGCGTTTCTTTTTCCAGGGCTGAGGGCATTGCCAGCTCCCAGGGTAGGGGTGGGAGTGGGGAGAGGACCAAGTCTCCGGCCTCCCTACCTTGGCCATGTGGATGTATTCCTGCTTGACTACGGGCAGGAGGGGCTTCTTGCCTCCTTTACCCTTCCATCTCTACCTTCTTTTTCCTGATTGCCTTTTTTTTTTCTTTCTGGAGTCTAATAGCCTGAAGCCTATAGGGCTCAGTTTCCCTGCACATAACAGGGCTAAAATTAGCTTTCTCACCATGAGAAAGGAAGGAGGGAGTTCTGCCACTGGCTCTTCTCTTCAGGCTTTGAGGGGGGTGCAGGCTGCCCTGGGCCCCTCAGCCTCCAGAAGGAGCCATTCCTGGCACCTCACAGACTAATCTAGCTTTGGTGTGGTCCTCCTGCCTCAGTTGATCTCTTCCCCAGGCTCTGAGGGACTCTCCCCATTTCCTGTACTGTGAGTTGTTCTCAGCAGTCTCTTGGTTACAGGACCTGGCTGGATCCAGAAACTGTCCTCCTTTATTCATCACTGGCATCTCTCTACCCAGTGTCATTTATGGCTTGCCCTCACCTCCAAAACTCTCCAGGGTATTGAGAGGGTCCACAAGTCAAACATGCGATGGATGTGTGCAGGTCATCTTGTGTACACAGCAGGAGCTGGGTCAGCCTTCACCAATAGCCCCTAGAGAAGAGCTGCCTAACCTATCTCTCTCAGCAACTAAAAACACTTTTCTGGCATCACTCAAGAGGCCATGAGGGGAGCTGCGAGGGTCTCTAGATTCCAAGTACCTTCTCCTCTTAGCATCTGGGATGTGGCTCAAGTATAGCATGGATGCTCAAAGAAAGAAACACCTTAAATGCTTCTATAGCTGCAATGGCACTTTACGTGTTATTTGCATATGATTTGTGGGCAAAAAGAAGCTGCCTGCTCAACTCTTCAAGGCCTCCGCCTAGATCACCTCTCCTGCTTAGGTTAGCATCAGCTCTTTCAAGTCTTTGCTAATCCCAGAGATCAAGAGGCAAGCACTTCTGGCCATCCCTTTGCTCTCCAGAGCCTTGACTCCTGCCATCCTCTGTGAGCTGCCAGATCATCAAAGGACATTATTCATGGAGAGCCTTTGCTGAAGCCCTGCTTCCCTGGTGTCAAGGCTTGGAAGCAGGGATGGATAGGTGGGGGTGGGGGTGGGGTGGGCGTGGTTGATGCACAGTGGTCTCATACCTCCTGCATTCCTAACTCCCTCTGCCTGCCTCACTTAGACTTCCATTTCCAGATCAGTAGGAGGAGGAGAGAGGAGAAGGAAGACGAAGAATATAGCTAAATGCCATTAAGAACCGCACCTGGGCTTCTCAAAAGAATGAACCTGTCAGGTCATTTGGGTGGATTTCTATTCCTCATACCACCAAATGCTCCCAGTCTTGGGTCCTCGCCCATGTTCTTTGCCCACACAGTCCTGCAATTAGCTGGGTAATGAGAAGCTTTTAATGAGGCCTCATTAGCCTCTCATATAATAAAGAGGCCTTCATACCCAGCTGCTGCCCTCACTCTGGGGTGACCAAGGGCCCTGTGCAGTTAGGGCAACTTCTATGAATATGGCCCAAGTCCCAGGGTGGCTGGCATGGGAAGAAGGTGTTTTAGGACCCTAGCAGCGCTTGAGAGGGTCCATGTTTGAGGCTAAGATAAAACAGAGAAGCTCTGGCTTCTCTTTTCATTTTACAAATATTTCTATTGAACATATATTATATGCCAAATACTATAAGATAAGGGATATTAACAGCAGATAATTTTTACCCTTGTGGCTCCTATATTCCTGGTGGGGCTGGGATGTTTGGTAAAGAGACAATAAGTAAAATACCCTCATGCTATAATAATGAATGCATGCAGGAGAAAACCTGGAGGGGATATAGAGTATTGGGATGGTTTTTTTTGTTTGTTTGTTTGTTTTTAAAATTTTTTGGTGCTGGTCCTTGGGCTTGAAGTCAGGACCTGGGTGTTGTCTCTGAGCTTTTTTGCTAAAGGCTAGCACTCTATCACGTGAGCCACAGCTCACCTTGAAGCTTTATTTATTTTTTACTTTTATTTTTGGTAGTTAATTGAAGATCAGAGTCTCACAGGCTTTCCTGTCTGGGCTGACTTCAAACCATGATCCTCAGATCTCAGCCTCCTGAGTGGCTAGGATTATAGGCATAAGCCACCAGTGCCTGGCTTGGGGTGGTAATTTTAAATAGGTTGATGAGGAAAGCCCTGCTGAGCAGTGTCTGTAGCAAATAAGGGGATGTCTTCATTCCAAGAATGGAGGGTCCCAAACCTACCGTCTCAGCTGGGCCATCTTCTCCCTCAGGGAGTGCTAACTGTTCTGTCTCAGGTCAGCCCACACAACAAGCAGTAAAAGGAATGGGAGATTTGAGATGAGGTGAACCTGAATTTCTGGCTCTTCATCACGGATTGGAAACTATGTGTACTGGAGTGAGTGACTGAATCTCCTAGGCTTCAGTCCTCATAAAAATTTTTTTAAAAAGGTATTTTCCTATGTACATGTTGGAAATACAAAAGTCAAACAGATCCCTCGATGAAAGGGTATCTTCTGAACATCAAACCCAAGCTCAGCCCCACTGGGGGAACCCCTCAAAAGAACAAGCTGGTTTTCTTTACTTTCCTTTTCTTTTTTGTCAGTCATGGGGCTTGAACTCTGGGCCTGGGCGCTGTCCCTGTGCTCTTCAGCTAAAGGTAAGTACTCCACCACTTGAGCCACAGAGCCACTTCCAGTTTTCTGGTGGTTAGTTGAAGATAAGAGTCTCAGAGACTTTCCTGCCCAGGCTGGCTTTGAACCGTGATCCTCAGATCTCAGCCTCCTGAGTAGCTAAGATTACAGGTGTGAGCCACCAGTGCCCGGCCTAACAAGCTGGTTTTTGCTTTCTACCTCCCCTATCTCTTCAGCATCCTGTCTGTCTATCTGTCTGTCACCTCTCTCTGGGTGTCTGATCTTGCCACTGTTTTGCCTCTGGGGCTCTTTCTCAGACAGAAAGAAAAGGGAAGCATTTCAGAAATCAATGCTGAAGGGGAGGGATGGAGAACAGCTCAGCCATCCTGTGTGATCCTCCTCAGAGAGGAGGAACGGAAGGTAGAGCTCTAGAAGGATGCAACTGGGTCAGGCTGATCCAAGGTCAGGAAGGAGAACGGCAGGATGCAGGTCTAGGGGAGAGGGCTTAGCACCGGTGGGGAGGAGGGGAACTGACTGAGTTTTCTGCTCTCAGCAGTGGAGAAGCACTGACGCTGGATGTGAAGATAAGAATGGTAAAGCATTGTGGAGGGGAAGGGGAAAAACAAATTGTTTAAATAGG